CGCACTCCAACGGGCCCCAAGACTAGAGGCTAGGAAAAATACGAGACGACATGCTCCAAATCTGGTAGAAGTTTCTAGTAGTAGGCTTGTACAGAAAACAATGGGGCAATCCCAGGAGGAGGAGACGCGCGATGACTGGTTGGCTCGACTAAAGTGCATTACTGCATTCATTCCTCAACGCCGACCTCTCTGTTTGTCGTCTCCTCTTCTCTCAATTAGTAAAAATGATGACATATTCATCTCTGAAACTTCACCTATATAATCTAGAATATGCGCAGAAATCTGGCTGATACTGCCACCAAATATTCAAAAAAAAATAATATGCAATCCATGTCTACAAAGAGCTGCGCTGGAAGTAGTGAGAGTAGGATTAGCGCCTCCCACAGTGTCTACTGTGAATAGCGAACCAATCAGAGTGGGCCAGTCTGCCGAATGCAGAAGTCAGGGAAAAGCGTAGTCCAGGTACCCTCTGCTAATATGGTGGAGCTAAATGAAGTAGGTCCGCAATTCATCCATCAGTCGACTGATCAGGTCAACTTGACGACATTAGCCGGTCGCATTAAACAGCATGCAAGGAGTATCAGTCTACATGATATCTGGATAGCGAGTTCCATTGTTTGGTCCCATCAAGAAACTTTCCCGACCGACATATAGATACAAGCCGCATTTTGTCACCTGCGGCCACCACTAGCATGAGTTTATATTTTCACAACCTACGAACTCTTGCGGCTATTTGACGGATATATTAATAAGTTCTATCACCATGTCGTAGAAGACTGATATCTTGAATTCGGGAAGAGAGCTTCGTCAGAATTAGATATCTAAGTAGTATGACAGTTGCTTGACGGATTGTGAGATCTGACATTTATCAGCGCATGACTTCATTGGACATATTATTTTGGGAAAGCCTAGATTCTTCATTGGTCGCCTGCATGTGCTCCGCAATGCCATCATGTCGTTCCGTGGCCCTGTATATGCAACCCTGGCAGGCATGTCCTTGCGGTCCGATTTGACGCGCGTCTGTTACTTGTCTGCCGACCAATCCAACTATCCTTTTGACGTAACACCCGACTCGGTGAGTCATGCAACAAGATACGAAAGATGTTGAGTATGATGCTAAGCGGACACGCTGCCGCTCTGGGCGGCAGTGGGATAACAGGTTCAGCGCTTATTGCGCTAAATCCTGGGCTCATGCGCCAAGCGCGATATATGACCGAGGTGGATGGACTGGCTCTCTTTGCTTTCAAGAACCTTAAAAATAGAGCATCTGCATCTTAATTGGTCAAAACTTTTGAAGATCATCGATCAAAGAAGGCAAATCTCGCGATTTACAGGACATGATCCTTCGTGTCCAAGATGTGTAATTCCCATGACGAGCTTTGGTCAGCAAGAGCTTTTGTCCGGCAGCCCCAGAAGCGCCACTAATGCTGTTTAACTCAGAAGAATTAGCCTAGTTCTTAGGTATACATGACATCCTCTCTTATGAACATATTAAAGGAACCTGAAATGATTATCTTTCCAGTCGCAGATATCTTCATTAATTCTCGTCCTGTCCCAGTTTCCCGCAGTTGCTAGAGTCGTCAGAACAAGTGGGCAAAGCAAACGAGGCTATAGAACCGCAAAATCCGTGTAACACAATTTATTCTTGACCCTTATATATACAACGCACGTTCGAGCCGAACCATATCATGAATTTGTCGAGAAGTTCTTCTGATTGGTCTGTGATGTATGGGTGAGCCATATTCTGCCTCCGATAAGGACCGCAAGAACATATAAATATCTCAGCCTGAGACTGACAGATTTGTTCAGAGCCTCTCCTCCAAAACCAAGCCATATGTATTCTGCAGTTTTGCGGGGGTCAGACAGTCCAATGTACTCGATTCAGCGCTTCGAAACCGAGCCAGCACACGATGGGAACATCTTCGCTAGATTGAATTTGCAAAAGGCAAACACTATTCAGCCACCAAACCAGCTTGCTGTCCCTACCAGGACATAGTCACCCTAATTAGACTTCTCGATTACCAAATATTAAAGTAGCAGAATTCTAAAGGAGACACATCATGCAATGATATTGCCGTATCTATTACAGAAGAAGAAAGCGACAAATCGAGTTGTAGGTAGACATGTAATGTTCGGCAGCACAACAATCCGCTATGATACAGAATTATAAAAATAAAACTTGAATAAACCCTTGCTAAATTTTTCGAACCATGTTTTTGTAGCATCGATGGATCTGTCTTGTCATGTATCATCTTCTGCATGGAATGCATATCCTCGCTAATGAGTGTAGCGCCAATGATTATAGCAAGTGGTCTTCATACACACCTCATAGGGAAAAGCCTGAGTGGCATTTTCTCTATGATGACACTAGACGAAGGTGAAGTTCAGTTTCAAGATGATAGATAAAATACCGCGGGCGACGTGGTGACTTACTGTCCACTACAATATTTGTGAAGCCGCTATTACTGCGCGAACTCAGGTCGCTTCTGTCGGCTGCGAGGAAACAATCCGACTTTCGCGTATGAGAGATGCATGATCATGTGTCACGCTACAGCTCAAGGCAACAAGTGTATTGCCATCGCGAAAAGGTTCTTCAAGGAAGCGGCATATACTGGCTGGTGTTTGGCTAAGTGGAACAGCCGTGTCGGTTTCTGTTGCATCGGAGAAAAGGTGGGTCGGCTTAGTTGGTATGTTTCTATAAGCCACGTCAACATGAAAGTCGTGAAATGATATTACAGCGAGAACTAACCCGTCAAACATGGAGACCTGAGAGAAAAGTGGATAAGGGGACATCGCGAACTGAAGGGACAGAATTAGGGACTTGTTGAAATATTGTTGATATCTCTAGCTCCTTTCTGGTGAACGCTAGAAAGAAAAGAAGACATTACTAGAGCATTGTGAAGATCGATGGAGGTGAAGAGAAACTGTTTATATTCATCAGTGAAGGCGAAAAAGAAAGTGAAAGGTGTGACCCGGGAGACATGTTTTCCAGCCCTAGTTACTTTGCTTCGAGTCCTCACACCCAAAAGTATGTAGAAAAGATACATAGAAGAGGCCTGTATACCGCTGGTATTCAAGGTGATTGGACTTTCTGTCCACGAAAGTATATGGACTTCCCGACTGCACTGCTGGAGCCAAAGAGGCGGTACCCCGTGCGCTATGGTGCATGCGAGCCAGGCTCCCAACAGAAGCCCCCGAGCAGTTGCAGGGGAGGAGAATCCGTGGAAATTTAATGTGGCCCATTTGCACAAAATTCACTTGTCGAGGGGGCATGCTATGTACGAGAACAGGACAGGCAAATGGTCCTGGACCAGGGGGCACGTTTCTACAGGGTGGTCTAGTTGATTGGACACCCTTCTTACGAGGAGTCTAGTGCGATCCAAGATCTTTCCAAACATCTATCACATACATCTTATAATCTATCAGAGGACTTCACGAAGAAGACAGGGGTGTGCATTGCCAAGCTGTTCCACCTAGCTATATAATAATCGGGCAAGTCATCGGTGACTGACAGGGTTAGGTGAAATCCGGGTAGAAAAACTCGGTAGTGTAGCTGGCTGATAGGGAGAAAGAAAGGAATAAGAAAACAAGCTGCAAGAGCACATCTGCCCACATCATGGCTTGATTGGCGTGACCGATGCGCCTTGGAAAAGTATGTCTCGATGTAATCTTTGGAAGTTTCCTAACTGTATTGTAGATCGGAACGCCACAAAAACGACCCGGAAATCGGTGGCTTGGATATTCAGATCCTAGCGTAGCTCATGTGGCATCGTAGATATGTGAGATGTACGCCATTTACGGCTGCACGGTACTTTCTCTCTCACCGCCAGGGCAGACCTGGGCTGAAAGACGAAGAAAAGGAAAAATGCAGGGGCTGTGGTAAGCCACCCGCCAGATTGGCACATCTCTCACCATGTCACGGCGTATTTGCCCAAAATCGATCTAGTATCATTTCCCTTCAGAAAAGCAATGAAGAATCTTTATACTTGTTGGGACATAATTGAGACATACAGCGACGAGTGCTAGCACTTTAATGATTGATGCTGCGCAATATATCCTCAAAGGTGAGCAAGATGTGGTTTGTGCATCCTTCTACTGAAGCAAGTTAGTTGCTTGAGGGATCTTGTCAATCATAATCAAAGTCGGTCCAGTAATATAGTCCTTCTAGCAATAGTTTGCATTACCATGCATTTCACCTGGAAGACCGTCGAGAGATGCATCTGGTAATTCTTGTACCTGTGAGGAATTAATATCTGCGTGAAGTTACCGCGCAAAGGCTTGATACTAGCGCCGGAAACTTGCGAGATCTTACTTCGGGGGGCGCCGTCGACCAACGGTAGATGTTGGTGCAGCAGGGATCACTGGTCAACAGACCATGTGCCATCAGTCAGTGGCTGGCCGGGCCTGGTCTGCTGCAGGATACTGTGAATGGGCTTTGTGAGATTGGGGAATGAAGTGCATGCACATCGAGCCCTTGATAATGTGAGAAACGAGATGTGGCGTCTGCAGGCATACATCAACAGGCTGAACTCGTACTACACCTCATGCATATAAAGAAAAACGAGGTTTCTAGCCACTCGGATGTTACGTCTACTGTATCTTGCCTATACTCATTGTTCCATGTACTGCAGATCTATGTACGACCTGGAAATCAGGCCACGATCTCTGCAAGTGTTTTCTAGTGGTTGGAAAACTTGGCTGGACCATTCGCTGTCTCGGTGCTGGAACGATGCTAAGTCGACTCGCTTTGCTATACGCCAACTCTCAATGCCAATTTGGATCCTGACCACTTGTGCATCGTGATCAATTGCAGCATAACTGTTTAGCCTTGACAAGTCCTCGTCGACCCCATCATACATCCTGGCTGCAAAACCCATACCCTTGCTCATTAAGCACTTTAGCTTAGCACACCGGTTTCATAAATCCAAACACCGAAGGTGACGAGTCTTCTCAAACCCAAAAAGCAATAAGTAAAGTCCTTCATGATTATCCTCTCCTCTTTACAATGTAATGCCAAACATTATGCCGGCGACTACAACGCAGCCGGCGGTTCTCTCGAGCCCTGCACGATCGGCAGCATTTTCCGATGTTGTGCTGGAGCTCGGGTTGCTTGAAGCGGCTGTGCTACTGGCGGGAGCCGTAGTGATGCTAGCCTCTGTAGCAGAGCTTTGTGCGGAAGTTGTGGAGATGCTAGAGGAGACTGATGACGACGATGAGGCAACACTGGATGACGATTGGGGTTCGCTGGTGCTCGAAGATGGCCTGACGGACGATGAGGTGGTAACGGCAGCAGAAGCAGTAATGACCACATTGAGGTCTGGGGTCACAGACGGGCTCGGGTGGTCAGTGGTGGTGTAGCTAGTGCCAGAATATGGCTCAACTTTCCCAGAGATGGACGTGGGAATAGCCCAAGCAGTGGCAGTAGCAACCGTGCTCACTCCGAGCATGGAGATGATCCAATCCGAAGCGTCATCGGAATAGAGGTCGAAGTAGTTGAGATGCTCCGCAACGGTATCACCGCCGGCGCAGATCGGGTCGCCGGCGGCACAGTAGGCCCGCAGACGGTCAGACCACTCATTCAGATCGGACAGATAGGTGCCATCACGGGGGATCAGACCGTCATCATTGGCGCCGTCCAAGACGTTATAAGACTGGCCGGCTGTATGACGGACGTCTCCAAAGATTGTGACGGCCTTGACTGCAAATAGGAATGAGCTTGTATTCAAAGCAAATACCGTGCACATGTGCAAAGCCGCGTAAAGAAACGTCTGAAGAATGTTTAAAGAATGACTTACTCCGCTTGCCAACATCTGACGAGGCTGATAGAGCTGTGTTCGTCCAAAGACCGCAATTGAAGATCGTAGCACCTCCATCACCACCGAGAATATCGCCCACAATATGAGCACCTTGGGAGTACCCAGTCACAACCAGTAGTGAATCCGGGCAGCGAATAGCGTAGTTGATGATCTGGGCCTGGCCGTTCAAAGTACCCTGGTGGACAGTATCGCAGTAGACCTGCTCCTCTCCGGCAGTGAAGTAGATGTCCTCATAGCCGCAGTTGTCAAGCTGACCGCAGACCCCATTGACAATATTGCGTTGACGACCAGGGTATGGTTCGTTGTTGCCGCGAGCCAAGAAAAGATGAACATCATCGCACCCCGTAGCACGCGCGGCGAGATCGCGTGCGGCTTCGGCGGCTCGGGCCCGGATCTGCGCGTGCGCGAGCTCTTCGGCTGGTACGGAGGCTGATGCCAACGAGGCGGAGAGCGCCATCACGATGGCTTTTGCAGCGACCATCTCGGCTACTTGGTGTTCACGCAACAACGCCAAAGCGGCGAGGGTTGATTATCAATTAAATCACAATGAATGACGAAATATAAATACAGAAACGAAGGAAATCAACGACTGTAGTGAGCTCAAAGTTGGCTTGGCAATCATAACAGGTTTGAACCCTGGACCTGGGGAGAGTTTGTACTTAAGAGGCCCGCACCACACTAAGTAAATGACGAGGCCCGAGGGCTACAGCCGCGCTGAACAGAGTCAATTGCGGTTCTAACGGGTCCTTTAGGCTTGAAGCTGTGGGGTCGTTCATTGTGAAGAGCAACCAAATTGCAACGATTGCGCCTTCTTAGAGTCGCTTTTCGGTGTTTGCGAGTCAAGGATGGCGGACATTGTGGCTCCAAGCGGCATGTGCTAACGCGCAAAGAGCCGTTAACCCCTGAATAGCGTCAGGCACAGGCACCATCCTTATCAATTTTGTGGATAATGCTCTCTTTTCTATAGATAACATAGAATTCTCCTTGTAAATTCAGCTATTACGCTCTTAACACCTCTTTCTTGGCCCCACGCAACCTCTAATACGAAGAGCGCTATAGTAGTGGGATCACATCGACCGAAGTCCCGAGATGGCGTTTAACAGCACCTGGCCTTGCGAAACACTCCGCTAAGATCTGAATATCACCAGCATTCGGACCCTGCATTCTATAGGGCTGAGCGTCAATTCGAGATCCGCCGTTGATTGAACCGGAGATCGTCAGCACAAGATTCAAGCTGTTTCAGTTTTGTGCTGTGGAATTTTTTTCCTGAGTTGGAGAGCAATTGTCATCGGATCCTTCGATCCAGAGTCAAGAGTTCGAACCCAAATCGGACAAGCGACACACTATCAACAATCTGGGTTGCTGGGTCATTTGCTCGCGAGATCTGCTCCAATACGAATTTTGAAGAGTGATATTTCTTGACAGCCCTGCACCAGACGTGAAACCTCCAGCTCTCAAGCAAGTTTCCCGAGCCAACAGCCTCCTTCCAAATGGGAGCCGCACAGAGAGTTGCCTCAGATATCCGTGCCTTCTGTGCCACATAGAACGCCGGGACGTGTTGAAGAGGAGACAACTCCAATTGTGCCTTCTTCAGCTCGCGCGCATGTCCCTCGGCCTCTTCAATCATAGGCAACCTCAAGACGGGGTCCAGAGCTGCAAGGAACATGCAGCTGAGCACATGGAAGGTGACGCCCGCCGCGAACTGTGTCATCCGCGAGTCGTACTCTTGCGTTTCCATGCTTTGACACGCTGCCAAACACTGCGTGAACTCAGTATGCCATCTCCGGCTCTGGTTGTTGATCCATCGAACCCGCTCCGTGAGTTCTATGACCTCTTCTGTGGCCGCATCGAGCCCTCGTCCTAAAATATCGAGAATGCGGCACTGGAGCCCGGGCATCTTCACCATGTCCACCGCATAGTCTCGCATGAGACGACCGTCATCCGTTAATGGGTCGTCCGAGGGGTACACCTTCGTGAAGAATCCCTGCCAGGGTTCTTCTTCTAAGAAACATGGTAGACCTTTAATAAGACACTCGGTTCCCTATTCAGTGTAAGCGTCCAAGACACCAGGGGAAGAGGTCATGTATCATTTACAATAGCGGGAAAGATAGCCTTGAAAAGAGCTATGTCGAAATCTGTCGTGAATCGCCCGGGTCCTCTTGATTGAACCAACCTGGCTGCACCGGCAACATGATGAGACCAGTAAGTTAGACTCGGGGAGTTGAACAGCTACGGATCTGTCAGTGACACTCGACCTAATAATATAGTCCGGTTACACATACTTCGAACAGAGCCAGAATACTAGTTGCACATAAGACTTCTGGGTCCGACCAGCTAGGACTATTCACGGCAGCCTGCAGACTAGCTAGTGCCTGATCATATTGGCTCAGGATGACCGCCTCAGGTATCGCACAGGATGGTGCCAATATCGATCTCGTTTTGCTGAAGAGACACCGTAGGGCGTTGTCCAAACAATCTGAAGAGCCAAAGCGGGGTCCAATGTACGCGAAATATGAGGAATCTTTACTGGCCCCTTGAGTCGTGATGAGGCTAGGAAATCGAGACGGTTCTGAACGTATGAGGTCCAGGGCGACGACAGCGTGGTAGATAGTGGTAAGAGCAGACAGATCGTGTGGGAAGAGTCCACAACCACTTATCAGAATGTCGATGCCAGATAAAGGAACGGAAGTCGGTGTTGATACACTCCACTGGCTGCGGGCCGTAGGGAGAAGGCGGTATGGCTTGTGGAGGCGAGCCTGTTCTTGACGTAGAGCCACTTCCGCCACCGAGTCCCTGCTTCGGTCAATACGGCGGGCCTTGACGCACATCTTGTCCACTGGTGAACTTTGGGAATTTTGCTCAACGTCATCTTGTCCGCAGAAGACACGTCTCCTCCGTTTCTTGTCCCCGGGTCTCGCGTGGATGATCGTCTCCGCCCGAGATCCGCGCCGAGTGCCCGTAGATAACACTGGCTTCTCTAGACTTTCCAACCTCACGCCCGCATCTAATGAAATGGATACAGAAGCCATAGTTTAGGCGCGCATTATATATCGCTAATGACCATCGTGTGTAGCGATGCCGTGGGTGGGGAGTATTGAGTGGAAAGGTTGATGCTTTATACGCCAGTAAGTGGTGCTTGTGATCGGTTGCAAGGATTCCCGCTCAGCTTCAAATCAAGCTTGCTGATGATGTGCATGGGTGGATGCTCCTAATTTGTGTTGATCGTCAAGTTGTAACCGATAAGAGTATGTAAATGTTCGGAGTGCTACCTTTGTGGACAGGGAATGCATCCGTCGAAGTCGGCAACTCCTCTAATGATAGGCACGCCCTCGTATTAGACCTTTTCCCAGCCAGTTGGCACAGAAGTTCAGGATCACATCCCTGAACAGAACGAAAGCGATACAACCTGTAAGCGCGTATGTCCCAGCGAATTAGCCACCCGTTCCAGCAGGCTGGTACTGCTATTTAAGCCCTGTGGGGTTTCACCATCTGGCTTACATGAAAAAGGAAGCAAACAAGAGCACCCAAAGACTCTGTTGTGATGATCGCGCGCTACTTGAAAATGATGCCTTGAGATCTAATATCTCACCATACCCCATCCTATCAAGACGAAGCTGCTATTGCTAGGGATTATCTTCGCAGATTTCCCTTTAACATAATGAAGGAATTCTTCCCAGCAACCTGGGGTTCTTTGATCCTTCTAGCGCCTGGACTAGCTTGGAGCGGAACTCAGCACCAACCGCCTCATCATACCCTATTGCATCATTTATGTCTTGACATTATCTATTTGATGTTCGTTGTCTTTCCGCAGGCTAGGGCACCTCATTCAGAAACGGCATCATTTGACATGGTTTTCACTGATATCACTCCTGACCTAGTGCTTTTATCGTATGAACTTGGTGCGCCAATTGTCTGAGAACCCTTCTTCAGGCCAATCTCATTCAACAACTTTGATGAAGCAACCATTAGCACAGTAGGCTCGAGGCCGCTCCGATCAGTCAAGTGTAGCAAATCAAATTCATGGACTTGGAATCACATGAGTCTTTTCGTTTCTCCCGAGCGCGGGCTCGAAATCCTATCCTATTTATAAGAGCCTAAGCGTTGACATCTTGCCCGAGTCTAGTCCCTTGGTAGCAAAGATGTAGAACACTTGCGGGGTCCCTGGGCGTGGGTCGATGGATCGAGAACAAACGTCGCGTTCCACCGGGTAATTCATGGACACGGAGTCTACGCTGAGTGTTCTGGAAATTGTGAGAAAATAGAGGTCTCTTTTGAGGTGCTGTGATCACTAGAATTACCACTATGTGTGCACTCCACCAAATAGCTTTTGAATACTAGTAGTAGTCATCTATTATATGAATAACCTATTTCTCGTTTGTTAAGGGGTAAGGACGATGTATCTCGATGATGCGTCCAACCCTCCATCTCTCTAAGGCTAGGAAAGAGGGATCACTCCGTCCTAACAGCGACAGGTCCAGTTAGGCGTCTTTGCCTCATACCTTCCAAAGATTGTGTGAATGGAGACCAGGCTTCATCAGAAGCACAGACCAAGTCCGCACAGCACAAGAATCGAGGTCAAGAGTGTAAGGGTGACGAAATCCAGGGTAGAAAGACACATGGACCAGTTTCTGGTTCGTCATATGGGCCCGCCAGGCTAATGCAATCCATGCCATTGGGCGACCAACTACCTGTGAATACTTTTGTTCGGGACGACCGTTACCCTTATCCGTATGGTGGCTTGCCGCTAAACAACCCCTCCCACTTCGGGTAGGATGGGAATGGCCACAAGGCGAAGCCAGGGGGTACCTTGGCCGGCCTACTAGCTTCTCTTTCAAACTGCTGAGGCTGTGTCTTGCGGCAGCTTTCGCACTACCTAGCAGCCCATACAGTTCATTTTGTCTGTTTCTCGCACTATGTGGAATCGTCTTGGGCTGCAACCGATTTGCATCAACAGCCTTGCACATACCTGACATGTCCGCATGTCTGCCCGGCCGACCCCTGTTCGTACACAAGTACAGTGTACAGGTCGTAGTCCGCCCTGCTAGAAACCCAGATCGACAGGGATTATGATGTTCGATGCACGTGGGCTACCTTACATATGTCTCCGACTTGTAAGTTGCTGTATGAAGCCAATCGCTCTTGTGTGTGCCTGGTGTGTTCCCGGTGTTCCTGGTGTGTCCCTGGTGTGTTCCCGGTGTTCCTGGTGTGTTCCTGGTGTGTTCCCGGTGTTCCTGGTGTGTCCCTGGTGTGTTCCCGGTGTTCCTGGTGTGTCCCTGGTGTTCCTGGTGTGTTCCCGGTGTTCCCGGTGTTCCTGGTGTTCCTGGTGTTCCTGGTGTGTCCCTGGTGTGTGCCTGGTGTGTCCCACTTGCACCCTTCCACACCTCGCGCTCTGCCAAGCTTAGCATATTTGCTTGCTGCGTCCCGTTGCGAGATTTCGAAGTTTTGACCTTCAAGGCC